GTGACTTGCGTGCCCCATGTGTCACCCATGTAATTTGCCTTATCACTTGTTAGATGTTCTCCAAATGCGGGAGCTGTGGATTGATTGCGACGCGGCGGTAGCGCCGAAGCGACTGAAATCACTTTCACCACAGGATGGAGACGAGACTGAGCAATGTAGAACACCAAGATGGCGATCATGAAGACATCATCGACAGGGTGAGAGGCCACCCGGCGATGACGACAAACTGAGCGCTCGCGCGCGACTGTCGGTCGTCGAAGTCGATTCGACCACAACCGGTCTCGTCTAGCTGCCACACACTGAGGGCACGTGTATGGCGGCATCGTCGCCATCGTCGTCGTCGTGGTTGTCGTCGTAAGACGCCGCTGGACGCCAACCAATTCGAGCTTTCCTTCTGGGTAGCGACAACTACAAAGGTTTTCGAAAATCTTGTTAAAAACACACCAGAAATCAACTCTGGAGGCATTTGCTTGATTTTGAGAAGTACATCCAGAGCTGTCCAACGGGATGATAAAAAAAAGGATAAGAAAAACGGTTTCACTTCAGAGAGGTTTAAAAATCATGAAGCTCCTGCAAGGACAAGCCTGGGATGGGATCCAGCAGAGAAAGGGTTCGATCCTCAGTCCATAGCAAATAGCATCGGATAGGCATAGCACTCCACTTTACGAGAATACCACTGAAACCAGAGCAACACAAAATAGGAACAGTGGTACTGGACGCCATTCCGCTGGTCCCGAGTTCTTCCTAGGGAAGCTCCGGCAACGTTCATGCCACTCGATTTGCTCCCGGGGTTCAAAGCTCATGAATTATCTTCGAATACACTGATCTATTTCCACTAAGGTAAGTTGAACAGTATTCTACTGTAACCACAAGCAATTGGTTTGAGAGGAACCTCATCCAAAGCTCAACTGCATGTTATCTCACTTCTCATTTGAGAACTGACGATTATTTGGAGCTTCTGGCTCGTTTGTCTACTAGAAACAAAGTTTGCCAATACAAATGGTCTACGTTCTCAGATAAAATTGTTTCCACCACATCCAGCTACGAAATCTTGCTAGTAATGATAACGATTGGACGTGGACCCTCCGAATCGAGTATATGGCTCAACTACGCTACTCTTGATAACTTCAAATTGTTGACATGATTTCCACCACCTATTTTTCGTTGCTTGAGGCGGAGGTGGTGTAGTGGCAAGTGATGCACCATCACACATGTATGGTTACGGGTTTGAATCCCGGGTCGACATCGGCCTAGGCCAACAAGCCCTCCATCCCTCTGGGGTCGGTTATTTGGTACCAGACTCGTCTGGGAATATAAAAACCTTGACTTGCACATCAGCTGGGCACCGAGAGCCATTGTATAGGCCACGCGCATTCAGCACGCCAAACGATTATGAATGGAACAAGAATGCAGGGCGCATCCTTCGACTGATCATGGGTCGAGGAGTTTACCCTTTATATTCCTTTTTTTGCGAGTTTCTATCCTTTTTTCAATTACACGCTAGTTCTCACTAGAAAACTGCCAATTCCCTTCCAATCAAGGTTGTAACCGTATGAAAGTGAAAACTATGATGAGCCGTCTCTCACCCTAGTTACAACACTGGGTACGCGGTGTTAGTTTAGAGTCGGAGGGGCTATAGATATTGAACAAAGTTAAGCCCGAAATATCACTCCTGAACGCCCTTTTTGCTCCTAAAAACATAGAAAGCAATTTCGACAAGAGCAGAAAACTAAACAAAGATTTGACCAGATTTGTGAAATGTCCTCGCCATCCCGCTCGAAGGACTCGGTTTGGGGGGCCTTTAAAAGCCTTCACCGTTTTCGGCAAAATATGAATCGACAGGAAGCCCAGGTAATTCGTGCTTTGCCCCTGCTATCATATCAGCACGATCACATGTCATTCAATTACTATCAGTAGCGACGAGCTGACATAGAAAGACAGCTGAAGGGAGAGCGTGTTCTGCAAGCCTCACACTTTACTAGGAATCTGAACTACGAAACGAGGTTTTTCAGTTTTCTCGAAACGTTTTCAGAAACCTTAGTTCGAATTGAATTCTTTTCTTGAACAAAAAAAAAAAAAAAACGAAGAAACAAGGGCCGAACGAATTCAAGCAACTCGTCGAAAATCTTATCCAAAAGATCGAAGATTACTGTAATCGTACGATAAGGGCAAAATTAATTGCTCTAAGAAGTTCGTTCACCTACCCCAGAACTCCTTCCTACAGGTTCAAATCGACACCCTCTTCCCTGGATATTTATCCTTTGTACCAGACAGCTGTATCCCACGCATCATAATCACTTTCCTCCTATTCCCCTTTTTACTGAAAAAGCGCTTGAAGCCTTAAGAGTGGGGTGATCGCAACCTTTTAGCGTCTCGGTCTGCCATGAGTGATTATCACACGCATTACGGTAACCAGCTTCATCAAGGTTACCGAACAGTGATGGGCCTAAAAGAGGTCGCTCTTCTTGAATGCTTTTTGTCGCAAAGCCGTCATCGGCGGCGACAAACAGGCTGTTTAATATTCATGTTCACGTCACAGAGAGTGCACGTCAAAGAAACGAGTCCGCTGTCTGAACAACTCGGCAATTTGCATTATTGCGTCGAAATTGCGTTCGTATTGCGTAGCGCTATCCTATAAGGAGCTGATCACCTCATTTGGTCGGAACACCGTCGTTTCAGCAAAAATCCTAACAAAGACGGCAACTAAAAAGAATCCTTCTAGCCTTCATGCCTTAAACTTTAGGTGTCACAAGATAAGCATTCTCGAGGCTCTTCAAAGGAATGTCACCAGGAATCACCTTTGTCCCTCTCCTTTGGCTAGTAGATATTTAAGAAAATAGGATTTATTTAATTAGGAAAGTGATGGCAGATCATGACAACATAACGAAGATCGAAAACAACACCTGGAACTTTAACAATCACAGCAGAACTACAACGTCACGTTTCTTCTTGATCCGGCCGTTTCAAATCACCAAACACGGCAGCTGGCACTGTATGCGTTTCGATAGCTGAAACACATTCAGTATGATCAGCACCTATTTTATAAATTAAGTGACAGTTATAGGTATGGAGTAATAACTTGAGTTAGTCAGTTTGGGCACTGAAACTGAGATGAATATCTGACGGGGCGCAAGAAGCTCCCAACCGAGAAATTTTATGAAAGTCAAAACTTACGAGCAACATCATCATCTTCGTCGTCATCGTCAATATTGATCTCATCCGGATTCTCTGTAGTATCCATCTGGGTGGTTTTGCTTTCACCTCGGACGAAGGCGATGTTACCAGACGGCTTATCCGACTGTAAACAGTAAATGACAGTTGGCTAAACACCAGGTATGCTTGGAAAATAAGCAACAGCCATTGAAAAAAATGAGTAATCCTTGAAGAATTGCGACATTCGCGAAATATATGCACACACCTGCTTATCCAACAACCGCATAGCATTAGTAGACTTATTCTCTTCCGCAGCCTGAAAGTGAGATTTTCGAGAGAACCAGAAACAAGTGTTGAAATAGAGACAGTAACAGACCTTCGCAGCTCCAGCAGCAATCAGCTGTGCTGACATATGCTTCACACTCGTGTTGTACGTTTGCTGTACCGATCGTTTGATTCGGAGCATTTCACGCAAAGTGTCCTCATTACCATGCTTGACCTCGAAGTCCATCCATGTGTCCCAGAATTGGCCATGGATCTAGGAATTCCAAGAGTAAGATTTAGAAAGCGATAAGGATAAGTAGATAACATCAGTTTAGGTAAAAAGATACCCAAACCCTTTGGGATCAGAAGCACTGGGTGTGCTGAATAGGTTGCAAATATGGTGCTGGCAAGTTTCAGCGCTCACACTATAGGTGGATTACCATATTGCGAGCTCGTTATGGTAATACAGCTCTATGAGCGAAAAGCTCTTGAGTGCGACAAAACCACCTGTGCATAAGCACGCAGTGCTCCACAGTATATATAATAAAACATGTCTCACAGGGAAACGACTTCAAATATTAAAAAAAGATTTCAAAAATGGTACCTTAGGATCACAGATCTCGGAAGCATGTGCGAATATTGCACGAGCGCGATCAATCTCACCAAGTGTGCGTTCCATTTGTGCATATCGCAAGCTCAGCTCTCTGAGAACAGAAGAGTAATTAGTATTTACCCACTGATAACAAAGGGATTAATTGAGCAACCAGAGCTGCTACAACTACTGAGATGCATTAACGGCCTCAAGCGGGGCTTACATCGAACTACTTAATCCATTTACTTACCGAGAGGAATCCTCTGGAAGGACAGTGATGGCATGTTCGTAAATTGGTCGCGTATGGGGCAATCCATAGAGTTCTTGTGCTTTCTTGATATAAATATTGAATATCTAAACAGAACTGTTACTATTTCGGCATCCAAGCGTATTTGGAACCGCTTTTTTTGACAGCAATGGGCCATTCCACCTAAGACACGCGATGACGGAAATGAGCAGCGTAATCTCGTCGATAAGAATAAAAAGGATAGTGATTTTCAAAATCGCTGGTATGCTGTGCGAACGCCACAACTTTTAGCTTCGAGTATGCTCAAGCTGACATATCTTTCACTACAGTTTGACTTAATCGTCTTCCGATTTTTAAATGAGCAAGAAGGCAGAAATTCTCCATAAGAAAAGGCTAACCGAATACATATCCGCTCTATCTACAGCTTCTGTTGCACGACTATAAATAGACATGGCATGGCGAGCTAGTCCGTAGTCCTCCTCTAATTTTGCGTATAACAAGAAGATATCTGAAGTAAATCGATCGTGGTCAAAATGCACGGCTTGAGATCTCTAGAAAAACACGATTTATAGAAAAACAAACTTTTTGTGAACTTTGATGGGCATGTCTCAAGGCACTGCTCGAAAAGATCCCGAGCTCGCTCCAATTTCTTTCCACCCTGAATTAATGATAGTTTGATTGCTGAGTGACTATGCGAGGAGAAGAATTATGAATAGTTGCAACTCACATATCGTTTAACAAACTTTGTGAGGTATAAATTCCATATATCATACACCTGCGGCCACTTAAACAACGCTACTCCTCGTTCATAAGCCTGAATGTGACATAATGAGAGTAGGGAGGGCAATACCCGAGTGCTGCAGGAAAGAAACTCCAGATTTTACAGCGAATACTATCTTCAGGGCACGGAACCTGAACGCACCTTAAACGCGTATTCATAATAATCGTGTTCTTCCAAGAACATCGCATAGTTGATGACGATCTGAGGAGTTGCTATTCGAAGATCGAGGATGCGATCATACACTGCTCTGCACGAATCGATCTGCAAAATCGAATTTCATGAGACTTAAATGCTAATGATTATTTGGTAGAATAATACCAGCTCAATACAACATTCTCACCGTTCCGAAGCTTTCCTCCAGATCTGCATACATGGACCACACTCTGAGACTCTTGTGAACCCTGGCTTGAACGGTTTCCGTCTCATCGAAATAATTCGTTTTACGAGGTGGAGGAGCGCATGCACGTCGTAATACAGTAATCGCCCTTTCGGATGACCTAAAAATTCACTTTTGGCAGAATTCAGTTCACATGCAGGAGGATTATCAACATTCTAGCAAATCTGAGAGCGACAAAAGAAAAATAAGAGGGAAAATCGAAAAAAACAACCAAGAATAAAGAATCTTAAAATAAATATAATACCAAATTTATCACTAACTTGTGTCGCAGTTCAAGCTCTGCGTATTCACACCATACCGTGGCCAGCTCATCCACTTTCGCATACGGAATTTGAGTAGCTTTTTCAAAAATGCTTCGAGCCTATAAAAACAGAGGGTTTGATATAGAAAGCATGCTACACTCAATGGATATAGAAAAGTTTGGTATTCACTAGAGTAAGGAAACATCATGGGTTTGCATGATGGTTTCAAATACCCCATCGGTCATTTCCACTTCGCCCCGCTTGAGAAAAATATATGTTAAAGAGGAAGTTTGAAATAATTTTGTGAGGAAGAGAAACTGAATGACTACAAACGCTATGAAAACATCTCAAATGTTGTTTTCCACCAGCCGCAGGTTCATTTCACAGCGCATATATCCTTATTTAAATACACAAACAGTCGTAAAAACTCCTTTATGGTAACTCACATCATCGAGCTGATCAGCACTCTCGTAGAATTTTGCAAACGATATCCACAACGAGCACAGCTTTCCTACTTGCATTTTTGGCTTTACAGTTCGTACCCCTTCCAAGTACGTGTCGATTTGCTGAAAAAAGGGTACATAAGAATTTTCTTCGTTGACCAGAGACAAATCAAACTAGGGAAAGCGTGTTTGTTCGAAATCACAACCACAAATAAACAAAATATCTCATCTCGCCGCAATGAAACTGTAATATGTACAAAATTCATCAAATTACGATTAATCACTAACACATTGCCTGAAAAACATTCCCACAAAAAAGAGAACTGATTTTTTTCGATGAAATGAAAAGTGGCGAGAAATTCTAAAAAATGCAATAAAACATTCCAAAATTTTGAAGGCTGATTGCAATAGCAAGAAAAGGAAACAAGAGCAAGAAACCAGAAATCACGACTTGAACATGATATATTTAACAGATTGCCGAGCTTGACTAACCTTTTCAGGTTGCCCTTCATATAAAGCAACCCTGTTCAGCCATTCGTGGACATTGTGAGGATTTTGGCGGAGCAGCACACTGTTCAACAACAACGGCCGTCGAGCCATAAGGTGTTCAAATCTAAAGTTGAAATTACAGTAGGCTTTACCGTAGATAATCAGCTATGCGAACCTCGCGAAGAGCCACTCCAGCTCCAGTTCTTCTTCTTCACTCGGCGAGCCGGCCAGGTTGTCCAGTCTCGCGGCTGTATTCCGTTCTTCAAAGGCCGCGTAGGCATCGAAGATTTGAGTAAAATCTCGTACCGTCTTCACGGAGATCATGGCTTCCTCGTAAATGTCTCGTGCCTAAATTGGAACGCAGTACTTTCATGTAGAAGTAGGTCTGACGAGAGCAGTGAATAAAACAAAATCAGATAACTTACCCTTTCAAACTGTCCAGCTCGAATGTAGTATTCAGCAAATGAACACCAAAGAATCCCAACCTACAATAAACAAAGTAAACAGTGAAATATTTAGAGAAAACCGCAAGAAAGGACAACTAAGTTTAACTGTCAGCTATGATCTCGTAACAGTTAACTTGGCGATTCCTTAAACCACATGTTCCGAAATTCCGAAAAAGATTCACTAGCGATTAAACAAAAAAGAAATATCAAACAAAATAAAGACATCTCAATCAGCTGAAAGAAGCCCTTCGACCGTAGTTGGAACAACCCATCAAGAATTTTTTTTGAAATTGTCATAAAACAAAAGGCTACAGGAGGTGAGCTGCAGGTTGTTGCTGAGCGATTTTCTTATCCGAGAAACACATTTCCAACTGAATAACTAACCTGATCGGAATACTTCTGGATACCCTGCCTCATGATAACGTTAACATCCAACGAATGCACTTTCTTTGGGTTCTTCGAAATCAATTCGCAAAGTTCCGCCCAAAGCTGCAATAATACCGTGAAATTAATAGACAAAATGGTTCAAATTGGGGCGTGACCATACCTGATGAACCGTTTTCCCTTTATCTGACACCGGCATATCTTCGTTTACGAGGGCAACTAATTGTCGGGCTGCCTCATCAAGTTGATCAATCTTTATGAGGTACTCCACGAAATCTTCTCGACCGCGTGGGTTTAATTTGAGATATCTGAGCATGTGAAGAACTATATATGAATCCTCAATTTGAGAATTTACCGAACAAATAAATTTACCTTCTGTAAACTCGTATGCAGGTTTCTGGAATATCATGACTTGTGACAAACTTAATATAAAGGGGCCAAATTCGCAGATGCTGCGTCACTGGCAGTGCACGTAAAGCCCTAAACCGTTAAATCATCAAAGAATACTGCAAAGACGTACTATTTGGAAAAATTCTCGTTGAAATCAACAAACCTATCAAACACTCGGCGACAGTCTGTGATCACTCGCCTTTTCGTCATCACTGCACAGTAATCCATCCATATTCGAGGCATCTTAACAGTAAATACATTAGGAATGAACTGAGGAATCTCTTAAAAAGATACCCAAACACCAAAAAATAAACGCAAACTTTGACAAAAATTGTGGGGACTGAAAGAAAACGTCACAGAAGTAAACTTTTCTAAATAGGAAAAAAAACATCCGCTCGAATCAGCGAATCAAAAAAATTACAATTCTAAACATACCTTGTGCATATGAATAAGACATCTCTCGTATGCATCGCACAGGTGCGACCACGATATATCAGTAGGTGGCTTGTGAGCTATAACGCGTTGTCGAAAACGTAAATAGTTGTACCATAACTTATAACTGCGATCGAATACTTTCAAGGATCGCTCATAAACCTGAAAATACGCTCGTAGATAGAGGACAGGAATAATGCTACAAGTCAAATAACTATCATCCAAAATGTCCCAGTCTAAGACCTTATTAAAACCAGATCATTCAAAAATGTTAATAATGCAAAAGGCCTTAAACTACTTACCTGACAAATTTGCCTCCAAGGTGAGTTGGTTTTCTTCTTGTGATCTATATATCGTTGCCAGCTACGCAATGATGTAGGATTTCGGAGAATATCCTCTTCATATGGAACATCTTCATCGGTCTATAAAAACGACCGTATTCATAAGTGTTTGTGAAAGGGGAACCGTAGCGTTCTTTAATATAAGTTTCCAAACAATAATGGGAAGGTGAGGAACAACTGGGGAAAGCAGAAGTGGCTCAACCCACAATTACATAGGCCTTTTTCGTGTGCGTTGTAGAGTCTGCGATATCGCGCGTCTCAGCCGACATCGCACTGAGGTCGAAGTTTTCCTTGTCGTTTGTTTCATTTATTTCTTCGTCCATAATGATTCGCCTGAAATGTATAAAATAAGGAGAAAACATAATAAATAATAATAAGTACAAGATACAGAGAGAAACAATGAAGAAACAGGAAAGTATGCGTAAGTGATCGACGTGCGTTACAAGTTAAACTAAGTTTTATAAAATCACACAACAGGCGAAATTTCCCCCGAAAAAGGCCTCGACCCAGAAAGAATTCATCGATCATCTATCAAGGCAAATAACCTCCCTTCTTAATACTCCTAAAGCTGCTAGCACTACAAATAGTGCTACCCAAAGGCTCCCCTCCCTAATAATGCTTCCCAAGGGAGCAACTTTGATTAGATTTGAAATTCGAAGCCTTAAATTAGTTAATCAAATTAGAATTTGACACTCATGCTATTTTGGGGAAAACTCAACTTAAACGGCAATTTAATTTTTAGAAAAACACGTGCAACAAAGTTATCTGCATAAAATAACATAGAAAAATAGCAAGAAACTGAAAATTGATAGCAAATATTACAAATCAAATGGAATAGGGCGTTCCAAATAACCGACTGGAAGACTTTCGAAACAATGGACGCTAATATAAAACTGTAATCTAAAGCCCAGAACAGTCTGGTGAACCTACGGAAGGATCAGCAATTACGTCCACCACATATCCACTACTTTCAGCAGATCAGCATCGGAAAAAAAACCGAATTCGAGTAATTTTCAAAAAGAAACAAATTGAAATTACGGTAGACAGCAGTACGCTGCGTAAAAATACCTCTAGTCACACTGTGCACTTGCGTATCACCTGCTACTACAGTGCGCCACGCCTAAATTTATTCGTCGTGCAAGGACAACGTGCTCCATGTAAAAATACATACCGCTACGCCGTGCAATCACACACTGTAGATGCTCACACTATCCTGAAATTGCTTTCACAATTGCGACGTGATGTTTTTGTTCCAAGCTTGACAGCTTTACTATAATCTAATTGCACTCATAAATAATATTCGGCAAGACTCATTCAATACTATTTGAAGCCATATTTTAGCCTCCATTTGTTAACCGTGCTTTCTCTTCCAGTAAAACTCTGGAACTCCGCAATCAGGCGAATTGCGTTACCTCGTGCTGGTAGACTATCAGAATTCGTTTCGAATTGCTTTCCCATTTACCATTTGAAAATTGCGACTGACTTCATTTCTATGAGTCTATATAAACAGACGTTCCCCCAAAACGCCTACTGCGAGCGGTTCCTCTGGCACAATATTTCCTGCAAGTGAACTGGCATATTACCATCTGAAGCCACTCACATCTCCCACAGCACGTTTGCTGAGCGGTTCGTCATGTATGTTGCCAAATTGTTTCATTTGTTTGGATGTATTTTGATCATTTATTCTTATGAATATTGCAAGAACAGAGGACTAGCAATTTATAGACAATAAAAAAAATGAGTACGGCATTTCTGACGATGGAAAATTTCTAGTTTGCGTTCGGGATGGAAGTACGGCCAGTATGACGGGATATTTCTGAATAGTGTCAACGTTGTTACTTAGACTTCTTTTCTTTTGTTGAGTTTTAATCCATGCGTACACAGCAATGTTTTTCTTTTGGCTTGTAGTCCATCACATTTTGGCAGAAACAAATTTATTCATAATGACCCGTTAATAGTTTATCACCAATGTGGACGAGAAAGGATCATACGTGCGAGTGAGCATGGAGTCCAACCACAGAGATTCATGGTTTGTTGTCAACAGGACCCACAGGAAAATAAGAAAAAGAAAAAAGTAAAAGAATAGCAACTAGACACAGGAACAAGTTGAAAAAGGAAGTGCAAATATATAAGAAGAAATTAGACAGTTAGTTGAACAAAATCGCGAGTGATCAATGGTGAACGTGCTGAAATCGAAAATAAAAAAGGTACAGTCGATCGAAACGCTCGCACATAAGGAAATATAAGGAAAATACAGCAAAGAAAGGAAATACACAGGCTCAAAAAACAATAAAAAGACTTATTACTCATGCGAAGGTCAACATTGAGAAATGTCGGCAATCAAAGACAACCCACACATGGAATGAAATGATCAAGAAATTGCAACAAGCGCAAACACATTAAAACACATTTCAGCGGAAAATACTCAATCGAACCTAATCAAATACGCGACTGAAGACTGAAAACACCCATGCTGCCAGTATTTTACAACTAGCCCAGTTCTCGTATTGAATTAAAAAACCAACTATTTTAAGGAAAGTGTGAAGATTGAATTGAAACACTTGAAAAATTCTCAAATACTTAGTCAATTTTGCGCCCCATCGACAGGAGGGCGGGCGAATTTGCAGCGCTTGCGATACGCTCCGCGCGACTCTCCTGTTTCTTTAGATGATGCTAGGCGCTTCATACTGTAATGCTGATAGTACGCAATTACACTAAGAGATTTGAGGTGTTTTTACGCGTTCTGTAGCTACACGCCTCACTTGCGATTTGACGTCGCAACAGGTATTAAGAACTATTTTTTGCTATTTTCATAGATAATCGTTGTTTTTGAATTTACAAAATCGGTACGAGTTGAAGTGTCAATCCTGTTTTCGTCAGATATGGGTAAAAAGGAAAAGGAATCAAAAAAGGTTTCGAGTTCCGTCAGTGATGAGGAGGAAGCATCCAGCTCGCAAGGGAAATCCAAGCCTCGCGTAAAGTTCGCGGAGAGTGAGCTCGAAGCGAAAGCTGCCGAAAAAACCACACCAACTGACAAAGTTAAGGTAACATCTTCAAGTAATTTGCTTTATTATGGAAATTTCTCTGAAAAGCTCGCCGTTTCATTTTAGCCCACTATTGTGGAGGTTGAGACTGAAGTTCGAGGAAAAAGGAAACGAAAACGTCTGCATAAAAATAAGCTGAGGTGAGGGCAATCTGATAAAACTTTGCTCTTTTGCTCTAACGTATTTTTGAAGAGTGCTTCGATTAAAATTGATAGGTGAGCTAAGCATTTTCGTAAATTTTGTAGTCCATTAATAAATTCATAAGAGCACCTTAATATCTTGAATGGATTAATAGTGGAGTAGTTGTGCTTTCGTTCTGAGGTGCACCAACAAGGTGTTGTACTTTCTGTGAACCTTTAAAGACGAACTTTTCGATTTTAACGAAAACAAGTAACGACAAATGAGAAGCAATCCAATTGGAAACTCCGTGGTAAGGAACGGTTTGTGGAAAACTCTTCAAAATTTTAAATCAACGTTCAGCGGCATATTTTGTGCTTTATGGTCTAGATCCATTGAAAGTTTCATGCTTTTTGGGAATCGGTATTGTTAGCGTAAGGTGCATGTTCTGTGGTAGACCTTATCACAAAAATGAAAACAATGTACATTACTTTCTAAGTTAGTATCGCTTTGGTAGTAGAAAACATTAAAGCTGATGGTGCTGGTGCGAGCCTTCAAGAACTTGGATGCCTAGGTTATTTATTCCCGAAAGCTCGATGGGAACGTTCTATACTGTCTTCCTTTTCTGAATAATTTTTCCTACCTCCTACTCTACCACCACTTTCCAGAAAACAGCTTGAAAACCTGAAGAAACCCAAACTTGATGTTGTTACGCCAGAAGTTGGTGCGAAGACGTTCAATGATTTTGACATTGATGAGAGATTACTCAAGGTGAATATCATGGAATTTCTTCGTTGGATTTCTTGAACAATAGATGATTTGATGACTTATTTGCAACCGCCTCTTCTCAGGCAATCGGTAACATGGGTTGGAAATGGCCGACGCAAGTACAGGAATCTATTTTCGACCTCGTTTTTGAAGACAAAAATGTCCTTGCGAGAGCTCGAACGGGAAGCGGCAAAACAGGAGCTTATCTGATTCCTATTGTTAACAAAGCTATCAGCTATGTAACTGTAAGTGCTGGAATCGCCGTTCCTCTACTATGAAACCAGAACCTTTTAATTTTAAGACAATCTCCAGTGAGCCAAATGGTCCGTTTGCCTTGTTCATTGCACCTACTAAAGAGCTTTGCGTACAGGTAGGCAAAATTGAATAATATGAATACGAATTTGCAGTTTGACGTTTCTATTGCAGATCAACGACCTTTTGTTAAAACTACTTCAACCGCTTCCGTTCTTGCGATCCCTCAATTTAGCAGATTTGACTTCAGAAGAGCGATCGGTTTGGGAGAATGTAAGCTGTTATTATTATGATTTTTTTATAATGGCCTTACTATTACTGTAACTATTATTGAGAATTGTTTTCTGATCTGTAAATAATGACTAGTAAAATTTTGGAAAAGATTTCATGTGCTCATTCCACTCACAGCTCAGCAGCTCTTGATTCTAGGATACAGCCAATTTCGTTGTTTCTACACCTGGAAAAATACTGGAAGTTCTGGCAGTCAGACGGAATTTTTGCGGAGACGTACGTCACCTTGTTCTCGACGAAGCAGATCTTTTATTATCCTTTGGTTATGAAGAAGAAATGAGGTAAAGCGTGGTGTTTTTATGAAAGAGTCAGCGTACCATGTCTACCGGATTCAAATGCAAAGATAATTTTAGCTCTCTAAAGAAATACCTCCCAGTCAAGTATCAATGTATATTGACCTCAGCTACTATTACGGACGATATGAGCTCGTTGAAAAGCCTCTTTATGACAGGACCAGTTCTCACACTTAAGTTAAAGGTTGGTTAAAGCTCATTGATGTTAGATTNTTTCTTGTTGTTTATGAACCTGCGGCTACTTAGGAAGGGGACCTACCTGATGTCGATCAGCTAACGCAGTACCAAATAACATGCTTGGATGATAATGAACGATTCGCCATACTCGTTGCGATGTTTAAATTGCGTCTAATAGTTGGCAAAACGATAATTTTTGTTAACGACACTAATAGGTGCTATAAGTAAGTTTCTTCATCTCTTCTTTTTACCCAAGCCATCATATCTCTTATAGTTTTACTCACCATGCATGCTAGTATAAAGCCAGCCCTTATGCGAAACTCACCTCTGAGCCATTTAGGACCTCGCTGGTTTTGCGGTCGTTTGGATTGAAATCTGGTATTTTGAACTCTTGTATGCCGGCTAATTCGCGTTTCTATGTAATCAATCAGTATAATAATGGCGCATTCGACATAGTCATAGCCTCTGATGCTACTGATGCCATTGAAGAAGAAGAGCCTAAACCGAAACAGGTAGTCTGAACTCATTTCTACTACGTGTCTTTTTACTACTCTTTCTTCTAGAGTTTTACTACATGCCTTTCTCCTACAAGTCACTATCAGTTTTACTTCGTAAATGTTTGTCAAATAGTGCTCTGTAAAAATTTTCTAGTCAAATTACAAATAATTTTCAGTTCGAGTTCGCTTATGTTTGATTTCGTTGAAAACAAACAGTTACTATTATTTCACTTTCTCTCATAGGCTGATCCTCCCAAAGCTATCACTGATCTCCTAAGGAGTGGAAAACTGCGTTCGGCTCCTGATTGGGTGGCCGTAGTTTCTATTTCTAGGAGATGCAAGTATTTTAGAGCAAAAGAGAAGAGCTTTGTTTTGAAAATACTAGGTCTCGATTGGGCACTAATACGAAGCTGGGTAAAGGAAAGATCATTGTAAAAAGGCGGTGGGCAAGAAAAATCGTTTAGTATCAAATCAGGGGCGCCTCATCTTTGTATACAGTTTGTCAAATTCATCAATCAACTAATTTACCCCTGAAAACTTTCAGCCCTCTCGTCGCGACAAGGAATCAGGTGTTTCTCGAGGAATCGATTTTCACCAAGTTGGAAATGTAATCAATTTGGATTTCCCCACATCTACTGACAACTACATCCACCGCGTAGGGAGGTATGCACTTTGTTTTCAACATTTTGGCGATCAATTATAGGGGTTCTCTAACCAATAATTCGTGGGGAATTTCGCCGTCCCGCTAACTTAAATTCTTCAGAACAGCGAGAGGTCGCAACAAAGGCACAGCCTTGTCTTTCTGCACCCCACCGGAACGAGTATATTTGGACACTGTCCAGGAGGAAATAAATACACAGAGTAGCTTCGAATAGATCCCGTTTTTTTACACGATGAGTGTATCTTTTTTCTTTTATAGTGGGCCGCAAAGTGATAGTTCCCTATGAGATCCGTATCAATGAGCTGGATTCCTTTGTTCTGAGAGTGAAGGTGCGTTTCACTTTGAAGAGCTACTATACTTCTACTGCATATATGTTTTTCATTTTTTGTTTTCGAGTTACCAAGACTTTCTAGGAGGTGCTCTCAAAATGTGGCAAAACGGTTATTAAAGCGGCTAGAATGCAAGAAATAAAACTGGAGGTAAGGCACTGTTTTTGCTTGTTTTACAGAAAGTCCGAAAATATTGTGATTCCTGGAATCTTCATAAATTTAAATTTTAAAAATCAAATCCATATCTACCTAGAAGACATTGAACAATCACATTTCTAGGAAAACGGCTAGTCAAGGAAGCTGTGGGTAATAAGGGCGATTTCAGATGATGAGATCGGCAAAGTTACAATCGTACTTTGCAAACAATCCTAGAGAAAAGATTCTGATGGAGACGAGCACACGCCCAACCACTCTAGCAGTACATTCGAATTCCATAGCCGATGTTCCTGAGTATATGGGTATGTTGTTTTTAGTTTAACCGGTATACCTAATTGTTCGAGAACTTCTAGCTCGTAGCGTGAAATGTAGGAATGTATATGATTTTCAGTTCCAAAATCCTTACGAGGGATCAATTATTCTGTTAGTCGAAAGAAGAAGTCAAAACCTGGCCAGAAACATCGGCGTAAGCTTCAAGGAAAGTCCGCCGGTCAGAAGGTCCATAACCGTCAGAAAAATGATCCGTTACGAAGTTTTAAAATATAATTGTTAGATGCCCTCAATTGTTGTTTTTGTTATTAATTTCGTTGTTGTTGGACGTTCACTGTTTACTAAGATAAAATTTATTTAGACCATGCCTACAATGTCCTTGGAATTTTCCAGTTCAGAACGAGGATCCTACGGTCATCTAGCTATCTACAACTTGACATTTGGACTTTGTCTTCATCAGGGAGTCAGCGGAGATAATATTCAACGGAGGCTAACTGGGGTTAGAAGGAGGACCCTGTTGAAAAGCCGGAGACTAACCTCCGGAAAGTGGAGGTGGGCGGTCTAGATCCCTAGCCAATGAACAAATAAATAAAAACAAACATGTGGCACCGAGTTTCGAAGGGTTGGGGTCTCTACTACAGAATCAAGACACCCTTACTCGTAGGTCAATCAATACCAGGTCTGACCAGGAGACTGGTTCAAAGCGATTTGGTCTTCGCCAGCCATGATGAAGGAAAGACATTCAAGATACCTGATTTAACTAAAAATCATGGGTAGATCTGGAGGAGTTGATCCTCATCAACAACATTACCCGTGCTATACTGCAGAGGTTGTTCAATCCACCTACATCAAGTGGTACCGCGAACTCAAGTGACGCTAGAATACCACCAGGCACATACTGTGCCAGTGAGTTACAGGACAGCGATCAGAAGTTCACCCCGAGTTGCCATGCCAATCTTAGGCTACGGTACATGACGCCCTCGTGGTGGGCTCCTGCCGCATGTGTCCGAATGACCACAAGGAAAACACCTTCGTTTTGCATTTATGAGCCCAATCGATATCACATACTCGACCGTTACTCAAAGGTGAGCACCTAGAGCGAAAAAGTGAACAACATCGGCTTGATAACCCTAAGATGGTTCTTATTCTTGATTACCTACAGTGTGTGAATGCATTATTCTAACACTTGCACTCGTCATGTTCGGTCTTATATTATTTCACGCAAATTGTATGGTAAGTTTAGTACCGTAATTCTAAGAAAGAAAGAAACCTCAGTTCTAAAAACGGGCTTCCTTCGAGTCTTAGAGCTCTTTCCATCTCATTCAAAGCAGAGGTTCAGTTCAATCAGGAATCATTCAGGAAATCTATAGGAATGTTTTGCCGGTAGGTGAGGTCAACTCTTTTTGAGAGCCCTGAGTAGCTTCTGTTTTACGTGGATGTTGGATTTCATATTGAGGTTAAAACATGACGTAAACCTACTTCGGTTCGGGTGAATGCTATTAGCTTCAGAGGCGATGACAGAGAGGATTATGCCGATCGTCATTCTTGGCACGGCCAATTTCTTAAACCATACCACCCAAAACATAAGACTCATCAGTCGTTAGTCAAGTTTCACACCAAGGTATTCAATCCTCTACGACGAGGCGGGAGTATTAGAGGCTCTCCGCTGCGTTTCCTCAACCTCCTGATCGCCGGGGTAGAGTCAGTGGATGGATATCCGCCAAAACGTCTCGTTTTCTGTTCTGGATCGTTTGGATGTTTCTAGACTGGTCTTATTGTAAGAAGATGAAAGCACAACCTTGTTCATTGGCTGGCTCAAACAAGTCATCAAACTGCCAAATACGCATCCAGTTCCAGCTACGATATTGCATGGAGGTCGTATTGCTAAGCGAATTGCCAAATATGATTGATCAACACCGAAGAAAACATCATCTTCCACCCTTATCTCCTTAGTACATGTTGCCATTATTTATAAATGAAACTATTGACCGGAGCGACAGTCAAAGAAGCATTGAAAGGCACAGTCCACGATAAGAATGGTTTCTGAGATTTCCTTGTGGGATTGACCTGTGATCCCAAAGAATAGCACAAAGTAGGAGGTTGGGTAGAAAAACTGACTGTATAGGGCTTAATAGAAAACCGAAAAACGGCGTGGTTGACGTCCACATCCAAAGGCGGACGAGATCTCAGACGGGTTATCAAGTCTGTAGAGGTTTTGGCATTCGCACCAGGACCCACACATCAAACAATGAGTAGGTGAGTAGTTAGTGAACCGAGGTAAATGTGGTTCTGACAACGTCCATACACAATAAATAAATCGGATTTGCTCTTTAGCAATCACACTCGGCTACTCCAAATAACCGGTAAACAGGGGTATTTGCCTTCGGAAAAGTCTTGAAGTCTGATCAGTGGATTTATGAGTTAAGCAGCTCCCAGAAATGACGTATTGCAAATGACTTCTTTCACGCTCCCGCCCAACGGACTGATTTGACAACATAATCAGTGGAGCTGAGAAGTGGGGCATTAAGGGACTTGCAGAAGGCTGGCTGGATCCATCAGAAGGGGCTGAACCGACTGCGAAATGAGGATTGTTCGGTAAGGAAATCATGCTGTCCGTCTGATGGACGTTAGCTGAGTATATCACTGGAGCCCCTTCCTCCCAAGGCAACGGTCCCGAGTTACATCTACTGTGATCGCCTGCGAACTTCAGAGAAGAACTCCTCCGGCTAACCTTTTCGAAACTCGACAAGGCATTCTGTCCCACAACAGTGCAAGACCACATGTCCCGGAGACGACAAAGCTCGAAATCCTGAAGCGGGAGAATTCTGCTGCACCCTCGATATAGCGCGTCTCCCTCTCGACTTCCAGTTATTCCTGTACCTCAGTAGCCATCTTGTGGGTAAGAAATTCGATTCATCGGAAGACCTTTTTAGCTTGGAACCACGGGGCTTCTAGGAACGAAGCATTCACACCCTGTCCAGTGTTGTAACAAGTTTTTGATAGTGTTGGTGCAAATGATGTACAATAATAGTGCATTTTTAGGATAAAAATAGATAAAAATTTGAAAATGGGTGACTTTTGAGACAACCCTATATATCCTTCTACAAAGGCCTACACTGCATTTTTTTTCTGAGAAAAATTGTTTTTGGCCAGGAAATAAACATTTATCATCTGAATGAACGCACATTTAAGGCGATTCAGATTTTAGATGAATTTTTCAGTTAATTCTTCCATTAATTCTTCAACTACATGTGATGTGTAAAGCTCGTCATGGCCGGTTACAAAATTCAAATACAAATACAAATACAAATACAAAATCAGTACGTAATTTGCGTAGAACTTTGGAACTTTGATTTTTTAGATGATTGTTTGATGAGAAAAATTAGTTTAAGGTCGAATAGAAAATTTTATATACTGAATCTGATTAATTAAGGAACCCGCAGTGTTGTCCAAAGCTCTTCCGGTCAAGTCACCCGCTACAGGAAATCTCGCTCCGAATGCTCTAAAAACCCCATCGAAGGGTACAGAAATAAAAGAGAAAGGAGCCAAAGACAAGTCCAAGTCGGAGGTGATCCCAACGCCAAATGCAGCACAAAAATCTCAGACTCAACCACCTGTAGTACGAAGGCTAGCTACTGCCAGGCTCAGACGGAAAGTATCAATGCGTACGTGTTCCGCTATCATTCGACTTTATTTCAGATTTCCTTTGACACCAGGCTTCACTCCAAAACACTGCTTCAATACACCAACAGTCTGGTCCGAGACACAATGAGATGATCCATTTCAGAGCCTACATTTGAAGCTGATTTTGAACCTGGCGAAGGAGACAGGCAGGATCTCATAGCAGCCGCTGAGGAGATGGGTAAGCGATAGCGACTTCGTGGCTCCATAGGAACATAAGGAACAGAAGGATTTCAGCAAAAGACGCAGGTGCCTATGAGAATATGGATCCAAATGAAGGAGCTGCAGCACCTGCTCACGAATCACTCATAAAGAAGCGTTGATAATCTGTTTGATTACGCTAGGCTTCTCCAAATGATACGGAACACACCTCATTTCAAAGACATCTAACACTTTGTGAACAGAAATAAGAATAAAGATTAATCTGTGTTAAAATTGTGGTTGGTAGAACCTTCTCAGTCAAACCCTCGAGAGTCGCCAGATTTTATTCGCTTAAAAATATCCAGCAGGTTGGTGGCAAAGCTAATTGGTTCAACCATGGCTAGCGGAGAGGGGGCAAGCCGCGGACGAAAAAACACTGTCAACTACCCATAAAAGCCGGTGGATGCAAGGATGAACTCTGTCTTTGTGAGCAGGGCTGGGTCAATTCATACTTCTTTCTTCTTGTAAATATGTTCAGTAGAGTATAAGGGGTGCGGTTGATAACCTTCGGGTCCGCTCAGCCGAAGGCTTTCATTCAAAAGACTGAAAAGAAACGAGGTGCGGTTCCGAGTCGCCTCTAACAAATAATCCCTTGTACAATCTGAAACAGCCTGGCTAGCCGCTTGTATTATAAGCAGCTCTCTCATCAGGGCTTGCCAACTTACTCTTGAATACCTATACATACAGCCAGAACAAGAACTTGAGTAGAGTTTGAGTTCCTGTGAACTTGGAGAAACTTAAATACGGCAGCGTTGTATTGGACCGAGGCTGCTGAAATTTCAGTTCCATTACAGGCTACCCAAAAGGAGACGGACTAAGTAGGATGGTAGGAACGCTTGCATCAAAAGGTTACATCGGAGATCCGATGATCCAAACTGTGAATATCAATTACGAGCATTGAACTGACCGAGACGAGAAGTCATCGCCCGCTGCATGGAGAGAACTGTCCTTGTAAACATGCGAAGGCAGAGACAGTGGAGCTGCAGCCATCAATACGAACTTGGCCATGGATATCGATTCTCACGAAAGCTTAACGTTCTGGATAGGACGTTCGCCATTGAAAGGCTGCGGCTCAACCCAGCTCCAACCTCTGCTGAAATATCAAGCTACAAATAAGAGGGTTTGGGAGGGTCTTATATGAACTATTTTCTTCAATATTATTCAGAGCTACATGGGCTCTAAAATTTTAAACAGGAGAACGCGGAATAGAATGGAATGAAAAGAATGAAAAACTGATCGAGTTGTTACATCCACCAAGTGGCGGGATAGAAAAGCTTCAATCGGATTTTCATCTGATTGTTGGCGAATGGATATGCCGCTCCTCCAGTTTTTCCTTCGAAGTCCGACAACCAATACTCCTTCTTCTTCTCCTGCGTTGATCCCGCGCCGTCGCA